AGGATACAGGACCACGGACCTAAAATACAGTTTTAACGTTGAACACTTTGAAAGTCATTGAAAATGATCAAAGCAGAGAGCAAGGGTGAACGCACCATGCGGAGTGCGTCCCCGCACAGAAATGCGTACAAGACGGACTTCCACTCCATTAAGTGCTCTTTTGATGGGACCAAATCCGACAGCGAGGCCAACTCTTATGCTAATGGAGCCAGCGACCCCCGGGAGGACACCAGAGGGAGGCCGTTTGGCAACCGGGTCAACAAAATAAAGAACATTTTCCTGCAAATGGACGGCCAGCAACCGCCGGAGAGTCAGGAACCGGCTCACAAAACAGATGCATCTTCTCCTGTATCGCCAGTGTCCAAGTTCCCGGTCAGCACTCACAGAACTTGCCTCACTAGCGCCAACAACCAAGAGCCGCAAAACGCGGACAGAACTCCAAAGGGAGAGGAAGTCGAGATAGATAAAGTCGCCCTGGCGGAAAAATTTTCAGTTACCAGAAAGCTATTTGAGAGAGGGATAAAAGAGCAGCCTGGCACAGAGAGGCCTGGGCCCGACAGGGTTTCTACTCGCCTGTCCCAGGGGAAGGTTCCTGAGGAGGGGCGTGGGGCCCGGAGGTCCTTTGGATCTTCTGAGAATAGCAGCAGTAGTGTCATCAAAAGCCCGACGTCACCCGTGAGGAGTGCCCCAGAGGAAAGGAGGGACATTGAGGACTCAAAACAGGGCAATAGACTGAACGCCGGGCCTATTTCCAAGCGGTTGGAGAACTTCATTGTGGATGGTGACAAAGAAGAGTCAGTGCAAAGTCCTGAGAAACTGAGCAGCCCTACTGAGCGCTCGCTGCCATCACCTCTACGAGGGAGTTTCCAAAAACCCAGCTCGCCTGGTGCTGATCCAGCACACAAACCTACGTCCCCAAACTCTGACAAACTCTCGCCTAAAACCGACTCTAGCAGCCCTCCGTTCATGTCCATCAGCCCGATTTCATACAAACCCACCTCTCCGACCAGCAGAAGCCCCGGCGAGCCTCTTTCTCCCAATGCTCAAAGCCCGATTAAGCGTTCGCCGTCATCAGGAAACGACTCGGTGAAAGACTCCACGACAAATGAACCGCCTCAACTTAGTAGTACTCCTGCGAAAGATCTCAAAGCTTCACCCTCTGCCAGCAGCATATATAAACGGCCCTGGAGTCCGGAGGGACCAAAAAGCGAAAACCACATAATTCGCAGTCCGTCTAGGGACATATATCAAGAGAAGGCCGCACAATGTCTGGACCCTACTGGTGCAGGAGTGGTACGGGCCGAGCTGGTAGTGGTCCAGAACGAGTCTTCAGAAAGCGAGGAGAACGATGAAGAGTTTTTGGAGGAGGTGAAGCTGCAAAGGGAACTTAAATTGGAGGCGCCGAGAAAAGATGGGACTGACTCTCTGCAGGTGTCATCACCTCAAAACCATACAGAGGACAAACAGCTGGAGAAGGATGCGTGTGTATCAACAGAGCTGGAGAAAGAGGAACCAAATCAAGAAGAAGAAGAAGAGGAGGAGGAGGAGATCATCCAAAAGAGGAATAGCTGTCATGAAGATGATGATGAGGAGAGTGAGCAGGAAGATCCAGATGAATGCGGGAAAACGTCTCCGGTGTTTTATAGTTTTGAGAACGCAGCGTTTGTGGATAAGGAACCGGTTCAGGACCAGCAGGATGAGGAGGATGAAGATGAGGTCTATGAGGAGTATGATGAAGCTCCTGGTTTGTCTGAGGATGAGGAAGGGCCTCCAAGAAGGAAAATCAGATTCTCCACTGAGCCGATACGGGTAAGCAATATCATTGTGGAAAAAAATCAATAAATAAATAAATTTATATCTGTATGTATATAAAT